GTTCGTGTTCGTTTCTTAAAGAACGAGCCGAACACAAACCAAACACGAGCTGTTAGTGAATGACTAGCCAGTTTGACATCCCTAATATTAATATATAAATAATACAATATTTTAATTATATAACTTATATTATATAAATATATAATATCTATATTACTATATTATTAATATAGTATATTAATATATTATTACGATTAATTTATTATATATTATAATTTATAAAATTTAATTTTTTAAAATATCATAAATTTTATATTTATAATTATCTTAAATTATTTTATAATTCGAACAATAACGATACGAACACGAACGAAAGCATCACTGTTCGTATTTGGTTCGTTCAACTAACCGAACGAAAAAAAATTTGTTCACGTTCGTCTCATTTACTTATCGAATCAATTGAACACGATTTGTTCGCGAACCACGAGCTTTTTTTTTTGACAGCCCTAAACATATGAAGTAAATTTTAATTAGATGTTATATATGTAAAAACATAAAAATTGGGTGGTATATATAAAAATGCAAATTATTATTATCATTAATATTATTTTATTTATTACCATCGGCCGGCGTTCAAATGGAGTGCGGACATGAACACAGCAACATCGCAGGTGTCACACTTTAATGTAGTAATGAATAAAATTTATGCTATTATCCACATGATTAAACAATTAATGATTTGACAACAAGCTTAAAATAATCATAACTCTAACTCACTACGTCCCTCATATTATTTTTTTAAAAATACATAAGTTGTGGGAAGTTTCGTTGTTCAAATATAACTGAAAAATTTACATGACTAGCACAAATTTCTTATTTATTTAAATATCTGACAAATAGACTTTCATATTTACGCGCAAACTATTTTAATGTTCTAAGTTTATGCATAAAAAAATTATATTTTACTTACTAATGATATTAAAGATTTGAGTGCTATTTGTAAAACAATCAGATTTTAAGTCGAGTTGGGGCCAACTCAAAATTTGCTCGAAAAAAGTTAAATTCAAAATTTTTGACTCATAGCTCTGCTCATTTTATTTGATCCGATCTCGATCTGAACCAAAATTCAAATCAACTTTCGATCGATTAATGATCCAATTTTGAGTCGAGCGGGAGTCGACTCAAAGGAAATAGATCCAAAATTTTGGCTCGTAACTCAGCTTGTTTATTTATATCAAATCTCAATCAGAGCTAAAATTCAAATTAATTTTTAAATAATTAACAATCTTCGAGCTAAAATCACAGCCCTACGATAACTAGGATAGTTTAGGAGTGATATATGTAAATACATAAAAATTGTCGCCTAGCTATCTAGATGCCCCAACTTCGTTGCGAAGCTAATGGAATCTGGTAACACAGATGCTTAATAATTGGTACTAATAAAAAATGTCAAAAGGCTTTGTTGACTGAATTAATGATTGATGAACCTTCTTTCTAATATAACAGAGATTTAATCAATAAAAAAAATTTACTAGAAAATGAGTACCAGTTGCTTAATAATACAATGAGCAATCCAAATTTGTGAAAGTTGTTTTGGCACCACCTCCCAAGCCTACATAGCAAAACATTTTCCCTGTTATTTATTAAATAAAGTTGACTGAAAATAAAATCATTTAAAATGCTTTCTACTCTAATTTTTCAATTAACAAATTTTAAACTAAAAATTTATTTTTTTTTCAAATAATGTAATTAGAGATGATTTTCTCAGTTATACAATTTAGTAACATTTTTTGTTTGGCTATTTTGACTGTAGATATTTGACTGAAAATATTTACAATCAAACAATTAATGCTGAAATACCAAAAAGGGTAACTTTCCAGATAAATATTTGCGTACGTAAGACGTACTGCGTACGTCGGGTAGGTTATAAGGAGGATATATCCGTGTTATACCCCTTGTAACCTCCATGTAACCTACCTGCAATTTACAAATATATGAAAATAGAAGCGCGGAACTTATTAGTTACATATAGGTTATAGGTAGGTTACAAGGAGGTTACAGAGGGTGTAACGCGGATATAACCCCCAATACACTCCTTGTAACCTACCAGACGTACACAGCTCTTAGTACGTCTTACATACGCAAATATTTCTCCACTTTCCGACTCTCATTGAAAGGGAGGGAGAGAATCAACGTACCCAAATAAATATCCATCATTTTGTGTCCAACATTAAAAAGGATAAGAAATGGGTTTCGAAACAAATCATTATATCCTTTCATATAAAAAAGAGCGCATTCTTAATCTATAAAATAAAATTAAATCTTTGCTTCTCTAATATAAAAGCCCTTTGTTGCATCAATTTTAGCCCCTACTAAGGCTTACATCATGTGTCATTCTTTCGAAAATTATATGATTTTTCATAGACAATTTTTAAATTGTAGCATCATTATTCTAAGCATTTAACTATTTTAGCATTTTTAAAGACATTTAGTTATTAAATTTCATCAACTTGTGATGAAAGCATCAATATGTTATAATTGAAGTAATATATAAATATTTGAGTATGCATGATGCATTGTAAGACTTTCACTTTCTCATTTTAAAAGGTGAATAGGTGCAATGCATTAGACCTTTTTATGACATAAAAATTGGTTAATTGCTCTATAGAGAAATTTCTCTTCATATATAATATGGTAATAGATATCACAATCATAAGGCCTATGAATTATATGATCTCTGGATCCTGAATCTCAATTTTTAAAAGTTTGTACGAAATGATTCAAATTAAAATCAGGGAACTATTGATAATTAACATATTATGTTATGTATAAATCTTTTAAATAATTATTATGGCTAGCAAGCTAGGTGAAAAACAAATAAAATAAATGCTTCAAAATTATACAAATATCATATTGATACTTCTAAGATTATGTCAAGCATCAATGAGAGAAAATGAGCATAAAATAATTATTTTCTTGTAGTAATACACTATCATAGTGCATTAGATAATTTGACATTTGAAAGATATATTTAATTTTCTTGAAAATATTTATTTTTAATGCTTATGATTATGTATTTTAATCATATATTTAGAAAATATATGTCAACTTAAACTTAAGAGTCTCTTTGATGCAACTGCAGCTTATCCAGATAAGCAGCTTATCCCTACTGATCAACAACTTATCAAGATAAGTTAGCTGGTTGTTTGGTTTTTGAGTTTGGAAAACAGCTGATTTGCATTTGTTTTTTGATAAATAACCATTCTGCCCCTGATCTAGATTGTTTCGTTTGTCCGTTTGGAAAACAACAAATTTGCCGATAAATAACCATTCTGCCCCTGATCTAGATAAAATGTCTAGCTGTTTCGTTTGTCCGTTTGGAAAACAACAAATTTGCAGCTATTTCTAGATTAATGATCATTCTGCCATTGCGTCGTTGTGTTATTTGCAACAGAAATGTAATGGTTATACTTTCGATAGTTTAGAACCAACAAAATCACTTCATAACAGTACAGAAAAGAGATATACACCTCATTTAAGAGTGAGTATCAAGAAACAAGAGATATACACCTCATTTAAGAGTGAGTATTAAGAAACATAATATATATAAATTACAATTAAAAGTATGATAATATACATTTTAAAATGCAGGAGAAATATGTCATGAGCAACGTTGTCTGCTTGAGATACCGTCGAACCCCGATTACTATCGGCGATGGAATCGACTGGACTGTCTGCCCACTTGAAGAATTCACACTTGTCTGGACTGTCTGCCCACTGCAAACACCCGTATAACTGCCGCCCGAAGCTATGTGGCACGCTTGGTCACAGTGAAACAGATGCTCTTTAGCCTTCTAGCAAAACCAAAATGTGTATATTACGCATTGCCAAATTTCACAGTCACAGTAGAACATATGCACAAGATTCACTTCTACTTTTGTAAAGAAATGAAACAAAGATGAAAGCCAAAATTCACTTCCACTTTAAAGGACATGATTCGCTTCCATTGTAAAGCACCAAATTCACTTCCACTAAAATTTTTGATTGAGGATAAACATTTTATTACATATAGAAACAATTTCATTCTATTTTTTCTTTGGCCCAATTATCAATTAGAAGATGTAGCTTGTATGAATTGTTATTGGTTTGATACCAATAAAAGCAGCAATCGTTTCATTATGTCAGGAATACACATGTACTCATATCTTTTATATTTCATCCAAATAGACAAAACAGAAAAACAGAAACCACATAAAGAAAAAACAAAGTAGTATATGAAAACACTCTACTAAAAGAATTGTTCATTTGGAATCATCAATCAAACTACAAGTAGCAAGTCAAAGCTGCAAGGCTATAAATTTTCTAAACAGGATACCTGAAATAAACAGCCTTCATTCCCATCTCCTTCCCTACCTCCATACACATTGCATTGGAGAGAAATTATATATTGCAACAGATATGCGAACTGTACAGCATATGCAAATAAAGAAGCTCCTTTATACCCTTGTCATCACAAGACGGGGCATTAAATAACAAATTGATTCATCTATAAAGATTTTGTTGAAAAAAAAAAACCCATTTTCTAGAAAGCTTATCATCACCATTTTCTAGAAAGCTTATCATCCCAAAGGATTATCTAGAGAATCATTGGCAGATTAGCCTTTTGTTAAAGATTTAGATTTGCATGCACATTTTCCTTCAACAAGTAATCTAGTACTCCAAAATTGATGAAATGAATAGTAGACAAACTATAGCAGTAGTGGCCAAGATTTCCCTTTCCTCTAGTCACTTGTGTTGATTGATGCCTTGAGTTTAAAACACATTTATCTTACTCTTTGAACTTCAAAACAATAAAGCAAATTTGGATACATTTATGTTTTT